GGTTATGTTTAGCTTCTTTGGATCTTCTTCATTGGTTTTATAGTAATAGATCAGTACCAAGTTCAGGTTTAGTGTTTCAATTAGTGAATTGTGGTGAGTTTTTCATTTGTTTGGTACCTTTTGTGTAAATATAAGATTGAGAACGGATAGCTTTGGAGTTGCAGTAGAGGAAGAGGAACAACTCGATTTTGCAGAGATATGTTTGAATTTATTTTGACTTAAAAGATTTAATTCGATTTGTATTTGTTATTTTGAATTATTTTTTTCTCTGATTTTGTTGTTGAGGCTATTCTGTTTTGGTTATGAAATGCAGGAGTGTGATGAAGTTAGCTTATTTTGGTTATGAAATGCCGGATTATTGTTGCCGTTTTGATTTATTGTTGACTGAGATGGAGGATTGTGTGTTGCTTGTTGGTAAATGGTTGTCAGCAACTATGATCTGTTGCTGACCAGGGGATGCATGATTGTGATATGTTGTTGTTGCTATTGATGTTGGTGTGTGGCCTGATTTTCTTGGATTATGTCCCTTTTAAATGTCCCTTGATTAATGTTATTTGGAATATGTCCCTTAATTATGTACATTGTTTAATGTTGCTTGGAATATGTTCCTTGATTATGTCCCTTGATTAATGTTGCTTGGAATATACTCCTTGACTATGTCCCTTTTTAACTGACCTCAATATAACAAACCAATGCTTGTCCCTGTTTCACCCCAATGTCTGTCCATATGTCTGTCCCTGTTTTACCCTATTGACTATCGGTATGTCTGTCCCTGTTGTTAATGATGAAACCTTTGCTTGAGAGAGCCCAACTTCAGGTGAAGTGATGAATAATGTTTGCCATTGACCTCCCATGAAACATTTGTGTTCTGGGATTATAGTCTTTAGGCAGAATTGGTAGTCATGGAAGAAGGTGGGTTGTCAGTGATAGTTGTGGGGGAACTGAGACACTTAAATGGCCTCCTTTTTTTTTTGTTTTTCTCCTATCCATATGTCTATGATGAAAGTCCAATATATGAGATAGTACACCAAAATGATAATCATCACCTATTTGCCATTAGATTTCAATCAATACATTTTATGTTTGATTTGTTGAGACTTTTGGGCAGATTTGTGAACTGATTTATGGGTTTATTATTAATGATTCATAGGGACATCTGAGACCTTTAAATGTGCACATTGTTCTCATATATAATTTATTGCATTAGTTAGTAAAGTTCTGGCATCTTAATATTTATCTTATTTATTCATCTTTTCTCAGAAATATATATCCCATATATTATGCTTGCCAAACTGCCAAAGATGATCAAATAAAAAAGAAACATCAAAGCACACACTTTACTAATAGTTTCAGACTGCTTCATGAGAACAGCTTGCTAACCAAGACACTAAGTAATCTTCTTGTAGGTATCAATAACTGATTTGTTTATAAATTATCAACTTGGAGGGTGGGAATTTTTTTTTTTATGTGGTAAAGACAGTACAACAGGAATGTGTTGTTTATTTTGCAAATGCAATTAGCTTCATGTATCTTGATCGCAGATTGTGTGAGCAAATATATGTCTGTCTTAAGTTATGTGACTGTTTTTTTTTGCTCGCGCTGTACTGAATACTTCATCAGGAATGTAGTGTTTTTGTTATAATTATAATAGAATAAGCCTTCTCTACATGAACTGGTAGATTGGATGATTTGTGTATTTTAGTCTTGAGTTGTGCTTGAACTGTTCACAACACCTTCATTTTGCTTTCCTCTACATACGTTTGAAGGTTGGATTTGTACTACAGAAGATGTTTTTTTTTTTTTTTATTTTTTTTTATGGAATGTCAGTCTTGTCAGGTTGATCTAGTGAAAGTTGAAGGTCATACATCTTCTATTAGATATCTTGACAGCTTAGAAGCCCAACCTGAGCATCGTGCTATAACTGTATTTGTTTTAGCCATCGTTGTAGATGGGCATAAACAAGGACAAGAGGCTTGCATGGAAGTTGGTTTACTTGATGTGTGCCTTCAAGATTCAACTCCGAATGGTGCTCAATATGAGCCCTTACTTCTTCAGTGGCTCTGTCTTGGAAAAATGTGGGAGGGCTTTATAGAGGCTCAGATAGTAGGTTTACACGCCGGTGATGCTGTGATATCAGCATCTCTACTGTTTAAGCCCCAAGTTTAGGTAAGCTTATCGTACACCATAGTAATTTATGTGTTTTGTCATTCTAAAATAAAAATACTATCTTCTTCATGTATAAAGACAAACATTGCCTATTTGCCTACTCTTTAGGTTAGAGCTGCTGCTGTCTTTGCATTGGGAAATTTTCTTGGTGCTGGATTTGACTATGTTGGAGATGGAGGGGATGATTGTGATGATGATGAAAAGCTTAAAGATGAATCTACTGTAAATTTGTTTTTTTTTTTTTTCAATTTTAATTGTGTGTGACCTTGTATTTTATTTTATTTTTTTGGACGAAAATTGTAATATTAGAGCCTTTTTTTTAATGAATATATATATATATATATATTTACATATGTTAGTGTTTCTATATCAATTTAAGTGAAAAAAATGCAAAAAAAAAAAAAAAAATTTCTTTTATTTTTTTGGGGCATTTTAGGCACCGGTTTTGAAACAGAACCGGTGCTAAAAGAATTTTTTTTTTCATTTTTTGGGCCATTATTCGCACCGGTTCACAGCAAGAACCGGTGCGAATAACACGTTTTTAGCACCGGTTCAAACCGGTGCTAAAGTTTTTATTTATTTATTTATTTTTTTTTTGAACCGGTGCGCATTTATGTTATTCTACTAGTGTGTATACATGAATTCCAAAAGCCACCTAAGACTACACTTGGGGCCTATAAAAATATAGGTCTGATCTTAGCCTTCGTTTTGAATTAAGATGATATTTTGGAAAGTGATTCAAATGATTTTACAAATGATTCAAACACTCCATCAAACCTAAGTTTGATAATATTCATTTTCAAACTATGGTGCCAGTTTCATTGGAAGAACTTCACTTTCAATTAGCAAAATGAGACAATGATGACAAACACTAAAAAAGAAGAGATAACAAGATTAGATATACAAGAGTTTGCTAACATTTCATATCTTTTTTGAAATAATTAAGTTGCAAATTACAACTTGCCTTTATCTATTTTGGACAAAAAAGTCACACTCAATTACGAGTTAGGCTTTTCTTTTCATTTTGGGTCCAGTTTCGAAAATAACATGTTTATGTATTTTGCATACTAGAAATAGTAGCTTCACTTCATTTTCAAAATTAACTTTCATTAAATTTATTGAACCCTCTCTAAATTTTGAATTTTAGATCGAAATAACGTGTTTCCTACTCTCTCAAAATATTGTCTTCAAAATTTCCTTTCTAAATTTTGTTTCATTTTCTCAAAATAAATAAATTTTCAGATTGTCCATAACCTTTTGGACAATATATACATGCATATACATAAATATTTGCAAAGGAATGAACTAAAATTCGACTTCTTCTTAACTTGAACTTGTTCTCGCCTAATCATCCTGCGAATATTGACTTAGGGATGGTAACCGCACCACCTACAAGACCAAAATCAAAGATTGTTAAGAAGGGAGAAAATTTTGATTTTCTAAATCAACTTTGAGAATAACATCATCGCAATGATCTCACAAACGTTTGACAAGTAATGAGCATTAAACCATAACTACAATTGTTTTTGATTTATAAACAAGCAAAGAACTAACTTGCTTCCTTAAACATGACTTTAGCTAAAAATGTGTAAGCCATGTCATTATCCTAAAATGTTCTCAAAACGCAAAACATGGGATACATAGGCCCATTCTCACATCATGACGATATAAATGGTCTTAAACAATATCAAGTCATTAGAAATACCCCAAATTGGGGGCTCAAAGACTTGAGAAATAGCAAGAATGCGCATAACTCGACACATGGGGGCTCCAATATCCATAACAAACAAAATGAAATATTCATGCCATTCAAACTACTTTCGAGAATCTCCTGAACTAAAAATGGTTTACATAGATCTCGAGCCTTACAATTTTTAAATGCATGACGATGATTTAATAATCATTTGTTCCTTTGGAAACTAAGCTTGCAACTGAACTTGGCCATAGAATAAGCTACAAACACGAACATATCACATATTCAAGCCATTTTCAAGTTCAACTTCAAAAACAAATCTTAGTGCATAATTGTTGTTTCGAAACTTCAATTTACTCTAAAAATTAGAGAGTATGACTAGTATAGAGCAAAAGAAACAAAATAATGAGTATCAAAATAATGAAGAAATCAAATTCATACGACATGCCTACTCATACGAAATTTTATTACTCAACCATTACTCATGAAAGTTGTATCGAGACACTTTATTAACATAAGACAAACAATTTTATGAGTTAAAACGTGAATAAAAGACTCCTAATTTCAAAATTAAAAGGTCTTCATTTTAAATTCTCTATTTGTACGAATGCTAAAATTAAAACATTGGAATTTCGTAAAGAGGATGATATCTACTTTCTCGAGCATCAATCAGTAACAAAATGTGAGCTCAAAGAAAAGAACTTGAAAGCAGCGAGAATAAAGGAAAAGTTGAACAACTACATTTCATTTTCCCTCTTACTTGTTCTAACGAACGACCAATAGCAAGTTTCCTTTGTTAAATGGTCGAAAACGATTTAAACACTCGTTTAATCGTTCCCAAGATCTTAGTTGTTATCATAATAAGACGAAACATGGGATTTCTAAGACCCATTTCAAGAGACATAAATGAAAGCGTCTAATGCTTAAAACAAGTCATTGAAGCCATCCAATATTAAGGGCTATGACACTTGAAAATATAAAATGGGGGGTCGAAAGCACGAAATATAGCCAAACTATACCAGTTCAATGATGTCTTCAAGAATTTCCTAACACTAGTACAAAATTGGGCTTAAGTAATACCCTTTGGTAACACTTTCATGATTGTTTGATTTTTAGGTAACACTTTTGTAACATTGTGGTATTAGGTAACATTTTTAGTAGCACTTTAATATTATGTAATATTTTATTGTAACACTTTGATATTAGGTAGCACTTGGTTGTAACACTTAATTTGATACGATTAATTTTTTTTTTAATCCAATATTTTTTACTAATATTTTTTTATAGAAAAAAAATACACACTTCATCTTATCAAAAGATCGACCCTCATAACCTCACTGTTGGCTGTCTACCGACTTTCTTCCTCCCCCAAGATTTCCTCGGCTTCCACCGCTACCTCCATCTCGCTCCCGCTGCTCCACTGTAGCCCCGTCCATTGCAGCCTCTCTCCATCGCAACTCGTGCTCCACTTTAAAGACGTACCCAACGGCCCCGTGCTCCAAGTTGCCACCCCCAAAGACAGCGGTTACCACCTCCTTGCCTCCATCCTCGCTCAGCGTCTTTCACCTTAAAGTCAGGGTTGGGGTTAGTTCTGTTTCTTCTCCCTTCCATTCTCAACATGAATTTGAGTAGCTAAAATTAGGGTTTCAATTCCCTCTCTCTGATATTGTTGATGATTTATTAATTTGATGTTGAATTCACCTATTAACATATTTAGTTTCGCTATTTTCATACTAAATTTTGCATGCATCTGAATTGGTTGAAGTAATTAGATGAGTTTGGGATTTTAGGTTTTTTGTTTTTCAGCTGATTTGTTTTGCCTTGTTATTTGATCTTTTGTTAATTAATCTGACAAATTTTAAATTAATTATTTTCTCTTGATAAGCTTGTCGAGAATCCAAATAATTGCGGGCGAAAGAGATGCAGAAATCCAAAGCAATGCTAGTTATAATTGGAGACTTGGTGTTTAATATACAAACTACTGTTGTGTGCTATTCTTGCTACTGCCCAAACCACCACTCCTGGCAGAGAAATTTGTGATAATTGCATCAGTTGTCACATTTTCCAGGCTTTAATTTTGTGGGGTAAAGATGATTAATTGGCTAATTTTCTGCAATTTACCCATTTTATCTAGATTTTGCTTGATTTTTGAGATTTCATGTGTTTGATTAGTTTAACTTTCACTTCAGTCTGAAAACAGTTATACTTTGCTTATCTCTCTTTCTCATGGCTGCATAATCAATTACCTCTCTAGTGAAGCTCTCAATTATTAGGTTACATGACTAATTCAAGCAATTGGCAAGTGGATGATAATGCCAATAGGGAACCTACAAGTGGTATGGCAAAGAGGTGAAATAGGAGTTATATTGAAGGAGAATTAGTCCTATCATGTAATCAATATATTGTTTTGTATTATATAAATTAGTGACTATGTATTTTAACTAGAAACTACGATATTGTTTGAGCCATAGAGGCCATGGTTTTTAAGTTTCTATACTTTTATATTTATTTTTCTTGAGTAGTTGTACAAGGACTAGTAGTTCAGCATGATAGTATTACTTTATCGTAAAGTGGTACTTGAGTTATGCAATGACTAAAGTTTGAATGAGCAGCAATTAGAATATGCATTGACTTAGTGCTAGCAAGGCATGTGATTTATGATTTATCTAAATTCCACGATGTTAGTGTATTTTTCCTGTTCATCTTTCTTCACAAAGAGGTGGAAATTCGAGATAAAGCATGAGATAAGTGTATATTAATCTCTATGAGTTTGTTATGAGAATAGTAAAGGCAAGTTATGTACTACTCGTAGAAGTCTAAAATTTATTTTTTCTTGCTAGCTGAATGCATGTAATGGTAATTCTAAACAAACAGTCAGTGACCAACTAATGATTTCCGGATGTGTTTATGTAAAAGGAGAATAGGTGGTCTAAAGGGAACCACCTTCTTCATTTGTTCGATCTCAAATCACCCCTGCTAATCAACCTCACTAACAAATTTTAGTCTCTATGAGCCAGTTTGATACGACGATTTCGTAAGTATTCTCCTATTTTTTTCCCCTCTTTATTCTTTGCTTTTTTCTTCAATCTCCACATTTTATTTGTGGTTCTTTATCGATAAACTATTACTCTTTGATTTTAATTGAACTTGATGTTGTTTTATCTATATTTTGACATTTATCTTATAAACTTGTCGCATATCAGTAGTGTAGTCAAACCTATTTATTTGTCAATTTGGTTTCTGTTTTGGTTTTATTTTGTATGAATCTTGTCGGTAATGGCTTGCTAATTTTAAAATCCATACCTTCATTAAGGAGTACGTTAAGTAACCTGTAGGTTTTTAAGGGAATTATCAGTTTCAATTTTCTAGATACACCTCATTTATATAAATTGAGACCTGAAATTGGTAAATTAATCAAGCTAAAATTTCTAGTTAAAAACAACTTTGGCACTAATTATTGTTCAGGTGAAATACAATTTTAACTAATTGATCTGAAAAAGTAATTGAGAATTTGAATTAACTTGTCATTGCAATCGCCAATACGCCCGCCCAAGTATTAGTATGGTTTCACTCCTTTTTTTTTATTGTATTCTACCCGTAATTAAGCAATCTATATAGGCTTCTGTATACATTTTTTGTGTTCACTTGTTAGGCCTTAATTATGTCTCTATGTTTAACTTTAGTGTATATTTGATAGATTTTTAATTGGGATATTCTATTTGGTGGCCTCGTGGTTTTAAAAATTCTACATGGAAGACGAACTTTTTTTGGACTCTCTTCAGTGGCGCCAAGGTTTAGAAAAATTGACCATAATGGCCTTTTTTAGGTTTATGGCTAACCTTTTTAGTTAAAATGGTAAACCTTTGATTTTTTTTTATTAAAAAATTATTTAAATTATATTTTTAAATAATAAAATTAAAAAAAAAATAAAAAAAAGTAAAAAAAAAAACAAAAAAATTCCCAAAAATTCACAGCTACCCCACAAACCCTAACCTTGCCAGAATTCGGCCAGCCACTAACTCCCGACCACCGAAACCACCTCCCAGCCAGCTCTTTACCACCGAAACCAGAAAACCCACAACCTTCGCCCGCATCGCAGACCGCATCTCCACCAAACAACCACCATAGCCGCCCAGCCACATCTCTTCACACCATAGCAGCACACGCGGTCGCACAACCCCAACAACAACCAACAACCAAAGCAGCGCGCGACAACCACCAATCAAGAATTGCAACCCAGCAGCCCCATAAGCCCGCAACAACCGAAATCCTAGCGTGATTGTTTGTTGTGGGGAAAGCACAGTACCGGCGGGTGGGGAGGGGGTCTGACGTAGGTGGGTGAGGGTCGGGGAATTGGGTTGAGGCGGCTGGAGGAGGAGCCGGATGTGGGTGTTGGTGGGGTTGTCGTGGGTAGGGGATGGGTTTCGGTGGTCGGGAGTTGGGCTGGGAGGTGGTTTCGGTGGTCAGGTTTTGGTGGCTGGCCGGATTCCGGCAATGTTAAGGTTTGTGGAGTGGCTGGGAATTTTTTGGAATTTTTTTGTCTTTTTTTTATGTTTTTCTATTTTTTTGTTAATTTATTATTTTAAAATATAATTTAAATAATTTTTTAATAAAAAAAACCAAAGGTTAACCATTTTAACTAAAAAGTTAGCCATAAATATAAAAAAGACCACTATGGTCAATTTTTCTAAACCTTGGTGCCACTGAAGAGAGTCCAAAAAATGTTCGTCTTCCATGTAGAATTTTTAAAACCACGAGACAACCAAATAGAATATCCATTTGTAATTTTAGTTTTTTTTGCTTATTGTGCAGATTAATTGAAGACAAAGATACTCGTAAATCTTCAAGCAATTAGTAGAATATAAAACTTGATTCCATTAGTTTTATTTCCTTGGAGCTTTTGTGCAGTTTTTTTCTTTTTAATTGTATATAGTAATAGTGTAATGGAGTACTACTAAGTTTTGATTTATTTGGTTTTTTCTTGTATTTGACTTCACCCTATCAATTAAAGATTGAATTTAGTTTTATTGATAATGAATATAGCTTGTGGTGAACAGGTGAAGTACTTCGTATCATTTTGTGATTTTTTAATAATCTATTAATGAATAAAGTGTTATATTAGCTTGCAAAAATTGATACATAATGTCGAATTAAGTGCTACTGTATGTCAAAAGATGATTGAAATTACCTAATAATTAACAAAGTGTTACATTAGATTGAAAAAGTGATACATAATGTCGAATAAAGTGATACTATATGTTTGAAAAATGTTACTAAAGATAAGTAAGTGTTACTTAAGAAATAAAAAGAACACTTTAAAAAATGATCCTAATGATATAAAAAAGTGTTACATAAGAGGTTATACAATAACACTTTGAAAAGTGTTACCATATGTTGTCCAAAGTATTACATAAGACCTTACGTAACATGGAAAGATGTATCACCCACTAAAGTGTTACCTATTGTCTATAATAACACTTTTACCACATTTTGTAACACTTTTTGGGTGTTACTTGAGGTTAGTTTTGTACTAGTGTAACTAACTAGTTCTATGAAAATCTTAAAATCATAGTTTTATAAGTGAATAATTAATAATAACTATCGATTATTGTTATCATTGATAAAACCAACTATTACGAAGTTCAAAATTTCAATTCTAATTTTAAAGGATAATTATTGTACTAACACTTCAATTTACATTAAAATTAACAAGTATAATCCATGTGAGCAAAAAAGAAATAAGTTCAAGCACAAAATCGAACTCAAATGAAGAAAAACTCATATATGCTTGTATATGCTCATACAGGACTCGATACTAATCATTTCACATGAAATTTGTTGCTAGATATTCCTTAAACATGTCACAAAAACATAAAACAAATTCATGAAAACAAGTCGAATCGAATAACCCCAATTTCAAAAATTAGGGTTTTTTTTTCGATTTTCCCCATTTTATTGACCAAATTCAAAGTTTGGCACAATAAACAAGAAGCAAGATTTACTTTCCTTAGCTTCAAACGACAACAAAAACGGAGCTCTAGAGAAAGAGACCGAAAATGGCGAAAAAACGAAGAAGAGCACGAGCCGCAAATTGTGTTTCTTCTAGTATTGTTCGTTGTTTAAGTTTTGCGCGCAACTCACGAAGATGCGCGAGACAACTGCGTGCAACTTCTAATATTGCGCGCGACACTCCAACATAACCCTCAAAGTTACACGCGGATACCGCTCAGCTAAAATGACTATTTCCCGATTTTGGTTAAGTCTTCCAAACCAAACGTTTTAGCTCGTTGAATTCGTGCCTCGATAGGCTTTCTCGCAAAGTTTTTAAAACCTTTCAAAACCTTTTATTTCTTTGCATTCAGTAGTTTCTATTGTTCTTTGATAGGTTTTCGCATCATCTTGTATGCACACTGTGCTTTGTGCCTTCCCAAGCATACGTTTTGGATATTTCTCGGAAGACGACGAGAACATACCACGTAGTGGTGCTTTATGTAAAAGCTCTCATAGGCAGTTTGGCATTTTTCCTGTACTTACCTTAAAGAAATGCCACGTTTTATTTTTGTCGTTCCTTAACAAAAATACTGCGTACATACAACGTAAAATTGTATGGCGTTAGATCTGACAATCCTGACCCCGACCCGATGACCCGACCCATGATTCGAAATCGACCCGAAACCCGAAATTAACCCGACCCGACCCGAAGTGGAATTGACCCGACCTTGACCCGAAACTCGAAATGACCCGACCCAAAATGACTCTACCCGAAGTGACCCAACCTGAAGTTGACCCCATACCCCAAGTGACCCGACCCGAAGTTGACCCGATACCCAAAGTGACCCGACCTTAATTTAACTTGAATTAACTGACCCAAATAGACCCGAAATCCAAAGTGACCCGAACTAAAATTACTTTATACCTGAAATGACCAGAATCAATTTAAGCGAAAGACTTGACCCTAGCAAACTAAAATAGAAAATAACCGCAATCAAACTGACTTGTTTTTTTTTTTTAATTAATTTGTAATGTGTAACAGTGTAAGTAATTTACATATTTTGAGTATTACTTTTCTCAGTTATTTTTTCGGCCTTTTCTCTATTGAGTTATAAGTTATGAAAAATTCGTAAAAAGATAGAAAATTAACGACTATTCTACGGAATATGTCCATAAGATTAAGAAAAAATTTACTAAAACTTGAAATAAAAGTCACAATTCTCACAAGTCTGGAAAAAAAAATAGTACAATAATAACGCGTACATAACATAATGTTAAATACTAAATGAAATTACAAGGTCTGATAGGCAAAGATAGCAACAGAGCTGAGTATGACCCGACCCGAAGTTGACCCGAAATTTGGACCCGAAAATTGACCTGACCCGGACTGACCCGACCCAAAACGACCAAACCCAAACTTGCCCTGACCCGAACTTAACCTGAAGTGTTGAACCGATACCCGACCTGACCCGATTATTTGTTGACCCGAAATCAACCCGAAACTCGAAATGACCCGACCCGACCCGAACTTGACCCGACCTGAAATGACCTGACTCATACCCGACCCGAATGACCCATTTTCCAGGTCTATATGGTGTACATATAATAATAATAATAATAATAATAATAATAATAATAATAACAATAATAACAATAATAACAATAATAACAATAACAATAACAATAAAAATAACAATAACAATAACAATAATAATAACAATAACAATAGTAATCTTCACTAGGATAGGTTTTGCTATAGGTAGAGGAGTGGAGGCCCAAATTGTATCTCGGCTTCCGACTAATTTTTTGGTAGGTTGTATGACTTTGTGTATTTTTGAGATATAATAATAATAATAAAAATAAATAAAAATATAATAATAATAATAATAACAATAATAATAATAATAATTTTAATAATAATAATAATAATAATAATAATAATAATAATATTAATATTAATAATAATAATAATAATAACATCCTTCCTTTCCGGCTCCTATCTTACCGAATATCCCCGTTGATCAGCCCCTTATTGCTTCATGTGCTGTTGTTTTGGATCATATTAGGGGTTTTCCGCGTGGTACGTCATGCGGTAGAGACGGCTTGCGTGCTCAGCACCTTCTGGATTGCTTGAGTGGTGCTGCAGATTCTATTTCAGATGAGTTGGTGGGCTCTATTACGCAGGTGGTTAATCTCTTTCTCGCAGGGAAATGTCCTGCTGAGTTGGGGGAGTTTATTGCTAGTGCTCCTCTCACGCCACTTGTTAAGCTCGGTGGTGGTATTCGGCCTATTGCTGTGGGTACTGTTTGGCAGCGCCTGGTTTCAAAGGTTGGGGCGGCTTTAATTGGTCCACGTCTGGGAAACTATTTAGGAGGCCTTCAGTTTGGTGTTGGGGTGCCGGCGGGTGGTGAGGCTATTCTTCATGTTGTTAATCGTTTGGTTGAGGCGCGTGGTGGTGATGTTGGCCTTTCTATGTTGCTGGTGGATTTTAAGAATGCCTTTAATTTGGTTGATCGTACGGCTTTACTGCGTGAGGTCCGTCTCCGTTGCCCAGCTCTCTCGCGTTGGGTAGAATTCTGTTACTCTTCTCCAGCCAGGCTGTTTTATGGGGAGCATACCTTAAGGTCATGTCAAGGTGTGCAGCAGGGTGATCCTCTTGGCCCTTTGCTTTTTGCTTTGGTGCTCCATCCGTTGGTTTGTCGAATCAGGGAGTCTTTCGACTTATGTTTGCAGGCTTGGTATTTTGATGATGGCACTATTATTGGTGACACCTTAGTAGTAGGGAAGGTTATGGAGTTGATTTTGGTGGAGGGACCTCGTCTTGGCCTCGATGTTAACGTTGAGAAAACGGAGGTTTTCTCGCCCACGGAGGACCCACGTAGCCGTTTGGCCGGTGTCTTTCCTCCAGATATTGCTCGTCCTGTTCATGGGGTTAAGTTGCTTGGTGGTCCTGTCAGTGCGGATGCCTCTGTCTGTGGTGAGCTTGTTTCGCAGAGAGTGTCGAAGACCATTGTGCTCATGGATGCTATTGCTAAACTTGAGGATCCTCAATGTGAGTTGTTACGGCTACGTGCGTGTACTGGGGTTTCAAAACTCTACTTTTCTATGCGCACTTGTCCTCCTCGTCTTTTTGAAGTGGCCCAGATTTCCTTTGATGTGGCCCTTCGGGGTTCTTTGGAGCGCATTGTAACTGCTTCGGGGCCAGGTTTTGGTGATTGGCAATGGCGACTTGCCACCTTACCTTTTTCTTATGGTGGATTGGGTGTTTATTCAGCAGGTGATGTTCGACACTATGCTTTCCTTGCGTCGCGTTTGCAGTCTTCTGGTCTTCAGGCTTCGCTTCTTCGCAATTCTGGTATTGTTCGTCTAGGTCTGGCCTTCGATGACGCTCTTAGTCTTTTTAATAGGACTGTGGAGACTGACCTTTTGCGTAACCCTAGTGAGATCGCTGCCCCCAAACTCATGAAGAAATTGGCAGATATATATTTCACGAAGGTCATTGCATCTGTAGAATCTACTTTCTCCTTATCTCAGCGTCAGGTTTCCTTATGGAAGTCCTAGCAGGGGGACCACACTTCTGCCTGGTTGCGAGCGGTCCCGATATCAGGTTTGGGTCAGACTATAAATGGTAAGACTTACCGTTGTGTTCTTTGCTACCGGTTGGGTGTTCCCTTGTTCTCCGTTTCGACACCTTGTTCTGCTTGCTCAAGGGTTTTCGATGGGGATATTTTTAGGGATCATGCAGTGTCTTGTGCAGGGATGGTGGGCATTAAACGTCAGCACAACGTTGTTCGTGATACCCTTGTTGATATTTGTTTCCGCTCTGGGATTTCTGCAAGGAAGGAGGTCAACGTTGGGTTGAGTGGAGGGAACGACGGGGCTCTTCGACCAGCAGATGTGTTGCTTTACTCTTGGATAGAGGTCTAGATGTATGTGTTGACTTGACGGGGTCTTCTCCATTAACACAATCTGGGCTGTCTGACTTCGTTCCTGGTCGTGTTGTGTCGGCTGCGGCTCAGCGGAAGCGAGACAAGTATGGGGCGCGTTACAGGGCTATTGGCTATGGTTTTCTTCCTTTTTCCTTTACTTCATTGGGGGAATTAGAGAAGGATGCTGTTGCGTTGTTGAAGCGGGTTCAGGCGTTCGCTAGGACTCAGGATATTGGTGCTCGTGCGGCTGCTCACATCTTCAACAGGATTGGGTTCGCTATAGCTAGAGGGGTGGGGGCCCAGATTGTATCTCGGCTCCCCACTAATTTCTTGTAAATCATTTGACTTTGTAGGTTTTTTATTATAATAATAATAATAATAATAATAATAATAATAATAATAATAATAATAATAATAATAATAATAATAATAATAATAACACCCTAATCCAATGACTCTAAATCCTAATGCAACGTGTTTCGGGGTTTTCTAATGTCCTGCGGGAGAGTTACAACACCGAGACTGGAACCGGACGCCTGTACCTGCAAAACAACGGAGACTCCTGGTGGTGGGAGCTCCGCCTCCAACGGTCAAGTTAGTACTTAATTAAGGAGTAATTAATGCGGAAATTAAAGTGATTGGATCTCTCTAGGTGAGAGTGTTTAATGTGAGTTTTTAGCGTAATCTGCTTCGTTAGCGTGATCAGCCTATTATCTCTGTGTGTAATCAATGTGTTTTTTCTGTAATCCCTCTTAATGAGGATTAAGGGAGGTATTTATAACCTTGGGAAACGTGCCCATCCTAGGTTTAGGTTAACCTAGGGCTGATTGGGCTTCCCACGGAAGTTGGGCCTGGGTGGCCGGTTTCTCCATTAGGCATGGAGTATGCCACGTGTCATGACATAACAGGTCCAAGGTGGACGAATAAGCGTGTGCCACGTGGCATGCCCTGACAGTTCCATCTGGGGGACACTTGGCAGGACCTGATTGGCCCGCGTGGCGCATTCCGATTGGTAGGAGCAAAAATCCCCTAATCATTTGCCCCTCACAGGTGGCACGTGACTGGTCACGTGTTACCTGTGACAGGTGCCGCACTGTAACAGGCGACGGCCTGCTACAGGTGTCAGTCGGCGAAAGGCCGAGAGATTTTCCCGCCTAAATTTTGAATTCTGAAAGTGACCCTTCGCCTTCTCACTTAGCCTATATAAGGGAGAGTTGTCTTGAGTCATTTTCACTTGAGAACTTTGTGAGAGAACATTCGGACCCCTGAACTTGCTCTGACATTTTGGACCTTTTCTGCCTGCCGCCTGTTCTGACAAGCCGACTGCACAGGATTTTCAGCACTTCATCAATCGTCACTCGTTCAGGTAACTGTCGGTTCTCTTACTCTTAATTTTCTTTTTATTTTTTGAAATGGCACCACGGAAGCACACGACACGACCTAGGTTAGTGATCAGCCGGTCACCGGGGACGGCTGAATCTAGGACTAGGAGTGTCGCCTGCCCTTTTCCGGACCCATCTTTGCCCTTTATACAAAGTCCGACTGTATCTGTGTCTATGCAGAGCAGGATGGCCAGAACGAAAAAGACTGCTAGGATCTCAAATTCAGACGGCTCCTCCCACAGGGTGCCGATTAGTGAAACATCTGACCAGGCGCCAGATGTGGAAGTGAAACAAGGCGGCCTGAAAACCGGCAATTTTGAGGGAGGAGGCATAGTGACCCCTTCCCATTTAACAGTTAACAATTCTGCTCCTTTTCAAAGAGAGGAGGCGGGCCCCTCCGGGAGAGGGGAGGAGTCGTCCTCTTCGGACTCGTCAGAGGGCGATTCCGAGTCTAGCTCTTCTGGCCATGCTTCTCTGGACACAGAAGAGAAAAACAGCCGCCTGCAAGAGGCGAGACTTTCTCATGCAGTTGAGAAGGGGGACAATTGGGCGGAGCCATCCGCCTCTTACCGAGAGCAAAATACCCCCTACTACTGCACGGTACCTCAGGGCCGGATTACAGGCATGCAAGAGAAAGTGGAGAGCTTTATCGCAAACCACACAATGGGCCCCGACTTTTTAGTGTTTGTGCCGGATCCAGAAGACACAGTCGTCTGGCCGGCTGGTACCAGTTATGATAGCGCCTGCTTTGGCTGCTACGAGGCGGCCATCAAGGCTGGGCTGCGCTTCCCATTACATCCGGCTGTTCAGCGGATCTTGGATGGGTATGAGTTGGGGTTATGGCAGTTAGCCCTAAACTCCTGGGTCAACGTACTCGGCTATGTGGCCGGGTGCGAACTCCACGGGGTGAAGCCGAGCTTCGAGGCTTTCGCCCATATGAACTATCTCAGCCGGACCCCTAAGGCAGGCGGTACCGGCTGCTATCAATTGACAAGCCACAGGGGCTACCTCATGACGAGAGGTAAAGCAAACAGGTGGAAGGACTGGCGGAGCACTTTCCTCATCATTGAGAGTTCAGACACTGAGCTGAACAAGCGCTTCAATAGGTGGAACAGGAATCCGCCCCTTCTTGCAGGTGGCCGTAGCATGCCGCCTGTTCCCCCCAAGGCTAAGAAAGAGATCCTTGATAAAGGACTCTTTAAAGTAGAGTCGAGGGTCGACTCTACTTCAAGGGGTACGAGAGCAAGTACCCCTGCACTACGTCCCGAGCTTCAAATGGCTCTACGACGAGTACTTTTTGGCCGCCTGTGGCCTCAGCAGTCGGTGCTCAAGAGGTAGTCGGCCTGTCGAATATTCTGTTGTTCCATACATTTCTTGTTATGACTTTTATTAACTTTGCTGTTTGTTTTTGCAGCTCACGCCATGAGCAAAATCACCGCCTCCAAGACTGCGGCGGCCATGTTGCGGGCCTCCATCATGCAACAAGCTTCAACCGACTCCCCCAAGAAGGGGGCACCCTTGGTGAGCTCCGAACCTTTCACCCTCTTTTTGGAGTTGTGTTTATGCATATACTGACTTTTTTCTTCTTTTTTAGACGGGTGCTCCAAGAGCTTCATCTTCCCAACAGCCGGACCCCAAGGCCCGGAGGACGACTGTTGCGAGCTCTCCTGGTTCTGCCAGGAAACATGTGGCGGTTGAGAAACAGCCGGCCACTTCTTCTAAAACTCCAACTAGGCCGCCTAGAAGTATGAAGTTGTCCTTGTAAATTTTAGACTTGCTCCCTTTTTTACTAGGTCTAATCCGTTTGTTTATGCTTGATGCAGCCGGCCCTCAGGAGCCTGACTTGGTAGAGGTGGCCAAGTCTATGATCAGGGCAGTTCCTCCAGCTGAAAGGGAGGCGGTCAGGGGTGTCGGCACCCTTGACCTAGACGGGATTGCAGGGGTCCTTGCTGAGGTATACTTAGCATATTTTTGAGTATTTGAATTCCAGGACGCCTGTTTTCTTTTTGTTTGGAAACTGACGCCTGTTCCTTTGTACTTAAGCCCTGCTCCGAGTGAACGGCCTTCGCAAGCCGCTTGACCGGAAGAACAAAGAGGTAAAGGCTGCAAAAGCTATGGCCGCCTCTGACTGTGATAAGGCAATGTTTCAAATTGCCCAAAATGAAGTTCTGACAATTGATATTCTTTATTATCAGGCGCAGACTACCGCCGCTGTTCGGGCTCAGTTAGAGGTGGCCCATAAGAGGAATGGCGAGCTCGAGGCGACCATTACCAATCTCAAGGCCGAGCTGAAACCTCTTCGCCTAAAGATGTACTCATACGAAGCCTTGGAGAAATCCTTGGCCAACGTAAAGGAACGCCTGGTGACTCAGGAGAAGAGTCTTACTCAGGAGCTCTCGGAAAAGGCCGAGCAAGAGAAGAAAGAGCTGGTCCGGGAGATGATGGAAGACTCCGCTCAAATCCAGCGCATGACTTGGGGCCGCCTCTTCCCCAATGCCGACTTTGCCTCATGGGAAAAAACGTACCGCCAGTGTTCTGATACATATAATCAAGAGATCCTGGCGGCTGCTGAGGAAGAGGCGTTGGAGGAAGCGTTGGAGGAGGAGGAGCCGGTAGTGGCGCTTGTGCCGCTTGGGGGTAATGCATCAAAAAAGGATGCAGCTGAAGCCGAGTCCAGCAAGAAGAGTGCTGACCAGGCGGCAGCTGCTAATATTGAAGATCTGCCCCCTTCTTAAGCTTTATGTATTCTTTCCACGGCCTGCGTGCCGTTTGTTTTGTATTTACCCGGCCAGGGGGCCGGGGTTTGAATATTTTGCCAGTCTTTAATGACCGGCTTCTTTTTAATGAATTTTTGTTTTGCTTCAAATTTGTCTAAGTATTGAATATTCTAATATCCAATTGTTCACTAGACCGACTGTTTTACATGGCCGATAGTTGCAAACAGGTACGGATAGTTAGTCACGCCGCCTATGCCCCTGGACGACTGGTTGGCTGTTTCCAGGATAGACGATCAGTCGGCCATTTATCCAATCGGTATTCAAACTATTTTAAAGACTAGATCCTTTTTAGGCAGGCGGTCCTGTCATTTGTAAATTTAACCAAGTAGGAGAGTGGTCTGACCAAGTGAACATGATTGTTAGTTGCCAAGGACCTTAGTAGAGGTATCAAGCGGTGGGTACCGGTTGTTCCCCTTTATTCGCCAATGTTTGTTGGCTTTTAACTCATAAGTTGTTAACCTAGCAGGAGTAGTGGTTGAGAGCCCCTGTTTGCAAAAAAAACAGGCGGACGACTCATACCTTTTAGGCTCCATACTAAGTTTGAGGGAGTGACTATGAGTTAACTTTGGTGTTACTCAGTCTCCGTCACTCTTGCTTGAGTAGTAGAGGTACCAGGCGGCGGAGGCCGGCTAGACCCCTTGATTCGCCAATGTTTGTTGGCTATTAACTCAAGAGGTTACCTAGTAGGAATAGGGGTTGGAGTGCCGCTGTTTGCCAAAAAACAGGCGGTCTACTCAAACCTTTTAAGTTCCATACCAAGTTTGAGGGAGTGACTATGAGTTAACGTTGGTGTTACTCAGTCGCCGTCACTCTTGCTTGAGTAGTAGAGGTACCAGGCG